GAGGCCAGCGACTTACACCCGAGTGACATGTGCGCAGCGCGATGTGCAAGGCGACAGTGAATAGTTCGCAACTCCGACGCGGCAATTCAAATTTCTTATGATTGCTCCGCATCTGGCCGGTCCGGACAGTGGCGCACTCTCTCGCCGGCCGATGCGTCGCCGTCGCCGTCGAGCAAGTCGAGGCGCGTCGGCGTCGTCGCATCGTTCATGCAGATCGATTGGCAGCGCCCGAACTCCACAATGGAATGTCCCACCGCGCACGCTTGCCCTGCGTTTGGTTGGTCTGGAAAGTGGCGCACTTCCTCGCCCGCCGATGTATCGCCGCCGTCGCCGCGCACCTCGAGGCGCGTCGGCGTCGTTGCATCTTTCATGCAGATCGACTTGCAGTGCCCGAAGAATGAGAGGCGGGCGAACCACGTCCGAGTGCCGTGTATGCAGCGCGATGTGCAACAACAACGTAATGGGATGCAAATCCCACAAATGATTTCAAGTTGCCCTGCATCTGGCTGGTCTGGAAACTGGCGGACTTGCTCGCCAAACCTCTGTGTCGCCGTCGTCGGCGGGCATTTGGATGCGCGTCGGCGTCGTCGCATCGCTCATGCAGATCGATTTCACGCGCCCGAGACGGCCCGAGAACTGTTCGGTGAGCGAATCACTTGCGAGTGACATGTAGCACAATTTGCAAGGCAACCGCCAAAACTTGAGACCCCACCTGGAATGTCCAACCACCTACTGTGGCCCTACGTACGAACGGTCTGGACACTGGCGCACTCGTTCGCCGTCCGATGCGTCGCCGTCGTCGCGCACCTTGAGGCCCGACGGCGTCGTCGCCTCGTTCACAAGGATCGATTCGCATCGCCCGAGGAGAGAGGAGGCGGGCGACCCACCTCCGAGTGAATCGTAGCGCAAATCTGCGGGACTGGACCCTGCATCTGGTCGGTCTGGGAAATGGCGCACTACCTCGCCGACCGATGCATCGCCGACGTCGTCGCGCATTTTGAAGCGCGCCGGCGTCGTCCCACCGTTTTTACACATCGATTCGCAGTGCCCGAAGAGCGAGAGGCGGGCGAACCAGTTACGAGTGTCATGTGCCCAGCGCGATGTGCAAGAAACAATACGCGACTCGAAACTCCTAAAAGGACGTTCTATCCGCTCATGGTTCCTTGCGTCGGATCAGTCTGGAAATTGGCGCACTCGACCACCGAAAGATCCATCGACGTCGCCGTCGCGCACATTGAGAGGCGCCGACACCGTCCTTCATGCAGATCGGTTCGCAGTGCCCGAGGGGTGAAAGGTGGGCGAATCACTTCCGAGTGGCATGCGCGCAGAGCAAAACGCAGGGCAACGAGAAACTATTCATGGTTGCCGAGCAGCTGGTCGGTGTGGACAGTGGCGCACTCGCTCGCCGACCGATGTGTCGCGGTCGTCGTCGCGCACGTGGATGCTAACCGACGTCGTCGCATCGTGCACGCAGATCGTTTTGCATCGCCCGAGGCAGACGAGCGGCCGAGGCACTTCCGAGTGGCACTTGCGCAGCGCAGCGTGCAGGGGGGCAACCACAATCTGGTCGAGCTTCATCTCTGCAGCTTCAAACCGTTCACCGCAGCCCTGCGCCTGGCCGGTCTGGAAAATGGCGCCCTCGTTCGCCGACCAGAGTGCATCGCCGCATGCCACTCGCGCACCTTGAGAGGCGGGCCTGCGTCGCCCGAGCGTGCATGCACATCGATGTCGCAGTGCCCGAGGGACGAAAGGCGGGCTCCACATCGAGCCGCATCGCCGATGCATCGGCGACGCGGCCCGCTCCTCCGGCCCCAGCTGCTCGGAACCCCTCCGGTTACCAGCCTCGGACATATCCCTATCCCCGAGATCGGCATGCCAAAAAGCGGTGACAACCTTAGGCACGCGCCCTCAAAAAATGAGGGACTCCCTGAGATTGGCATCGCGATGAGGAGATGCCCAGCGTAGGGATAGGGATATGTTCCAGGCTGGTAATCTGGGAGCCCTCGAGGCACGGCACGACGTGGCCCAGGCCGGCCCCGGGGGCCGGAACGCCCAGAAGGAACCCGGGAGGGCCCCAGGACGAGTGCCCCCCAGAACCTCCTGGAGGCGCTGGAGGCAGCCACAAGACCGATGCAACAGTCTCCTACAAGTCGGGAGCGGCCAAGAGGGGGGTGTCCAAGAGGGGGGGGTGCAAATCATGACCGGCGGCATGTGCGCGGCCAAGCGGGGGGGCCTGGGACATAATGAAATAAGAGGAGGCGCCATGAAATCGGGGGAAATATCATGGCCCGCGCCATGAAATCCACCCCCCCCCCTAGTCATCACCCCCCTCTTTTCCGCCCCCGATACAGGTCCCCATGTCGTCCACCTGTTGGGGCTGCGTGGGTGGATCCCTCTGCCAGTTTGACGGGTGTTACAGACTGTAGTTCCACCAATGCTGCTCCACTTCCCATTGCATGACAAATTGCCTGGGGATCATTTCTCATTTCTCGACGGGGTC